CCCCCCCCAGGTCCTTTTCTGCCAGGCAGCTCCCAGCCGCTCCTCCCCACGCCTGCAGCGGTGCCTGGGGTTGGTGTGACCCAAGTGCAGGACCCGGCGCTGAGCCTTGTTGAATCTCATACAGTTGGCCCCGGCCCATCGATCCAGCCTGGCCAGATCCATCCATAGGGCCTTCCTACTCTCCAGGAGATCAACACTTCCACCCAATTACCAAGCTTTCAAAGAAAAGTGTTTGCTGTTGGTGTACTCTTTCTAGATCATATATTAGGAAAAGAAAATTAATTTAGGGAGCAAAATTAATAGATGCAAATAGTCCCAGTAGTTAAGGCTGTAGAAGTTATAATCTTTCATCTAATAATACCTTTTCTGTCCGACTTAATTTTTTTCAATTGTTAACATTTTTGGCTGAAATGTTCTATAGCCAATTTCTCTGCAAAAGCAGCCTCCTCAAGATATTATAATGTAAATAATTTTACTTATCAAGGAAAGAAGAGTAGTTCTGACATGTAACTATAAATATGGAAAAGGATGTTTTTATAAAAGCTTGTACTTTTTTCAGGCTTAGTGCCGAATTATATTCCAGTTAAGAAATAAAGATGTAGAATGCAGTTTTGTTGACAGTCCATAGGTCAGAAATGTTCCTGCCTCATGTTTGTGTTTTGATTTGTAAAAGAAAATCTGCTTAGATTTATAAAGATTGGAGATTTAGATTTGACACATTGAGGTCATGTGAAAAGGTGGAATTGCTTACCCTCTATTTTCCAATTGCATTAAAACTCAGTTTACGGGAGGAATGGATATTTACTTTATTAATAGTTTATTTTTAGTGTTGCTGTATAATCAGATATTTTAATAGAGGGTACATTTCCATGATCTGTGCTGAGCCGGCACGACAGGCAAAAAGGAGAGGAGTTGCTTCTGTTTCCCCAGTCCCATTTGTCCTTAGATGTATGGTTTCATCCCTCCTTTGTAGCAGTTCCATTTCTAGTCAGGCTCCAAGTGAATACATTAACACCATTTTAGTAAGTCAAATCGGCGTAGTGAATACTTCCCCCCTACTCAGCACTGGTGAGGCCACACCTGCAGTACTGTGTCCAGTTCTGGGCTTCCCAGCACAAGAGAGCCACGGACATACTGGAGAGAGCTGAAGGAAGGGTCACTAAGATGATTAATGGACTAGAGCGTCTCTCCTACGAGGAAAGGCTGAGAGCGCTGGGACTGTTCAGCCTCGAGAAGAGAAGGCTCCAGGGCAACCTCAGCAATGTGTGCAGCTATCTGAAGGGAGGGTGCAGAAGATGAAGCCAGGCTCTTTTCGGTGGTGCCCCATGACAGGACAAGAGGCAACTGGCACAAACTGAACCACAGGAGGGTCCCTCTGAACATCAGGAAACACTTTATTTACTGTGAGGGTGACCGCGGAGTGGCACAAGCTGTCCAGAGAAGTTGTGGAGTCTCCACCCTTGGGAGATATTTGAAAGCCATCTGGATGTGATCCTGGGCAACCTGGTCCTACGTGACCTTGTTTGAGGAGGGAGCTTGAACAGCACAAACTTGAGAGCGCCCTTCTAGCCTCAACCATTCTGTAATTCTGTGAAGACTTCAGAGTGGTAGACCAGTTTTGTGCATCTGAGGGGGGAAGAGAGGAGTCAGCTCATCCTCTTGATGATTATGAGCTGTTACGTTGGCTTATCTGAGTGGCTTCTTGAATCCATATCTCCTAAAATTATCTGTGTCATTGTCAGAACCACAAGGAAAAATTACTTGATCTAATTATTTGCTTATTTTCTTTTCTAGCCTGTACTTGTTCAAACTGGGTCTTGCCCCCCAGATTCAGGATTTATATGGGAAGGTGGACTTCACAGGAAAAAAAAAAAAAAAAAAAAAAAAGTGCTGATGCGTGCTGCCTTTATCTCAGACTCTACTAGACATTGTATAGATAATTAAAGGATTGTTACTGTTGATATCCTAAATGCAAATTAAATTCAAAATTAATGGCTGTGAGTAGTTCTAGTAATTTAAGAAAAAGGTTTGATTTGGTTGCTTCTGAGCCAGGCTGTTAAATAGCCATCGGTTCGCTAATCATTACTGTTGCAAATAACAGCCCCTTAACTTTTTTGCCACTGTTGTTAAGATGCTCAAACCTTGCCTTCATCCCTCGGCAGAGGTTTCAGTTTGGAACTTGGTAAGCGGTTCTGACCTCCCTTGGCAGTTTAAAGTAGAGGTGCCATCAGCTGAAGAAGAGTACGCCAGCTGATCTGCTGCAGGAGATTCCAGCACAGAGGCTAATGTCCACATGCCTCCTCAGGGTTTCAGTTCCCTGATTTTTGCAAAAGTGTCAAATTCTGTGTTTTGCATTGGTGTGGTTCCTGTGTGAGGGCGTGCATCTGATTTAAAAGGTGTATAAACTTTATTTTCCTGCAAAACAGTTGTTGGTTGTACCTATAAAATGCTAAACTATCAACCGTCTTTTTGAGTTGTGTGGCATTTAGCAACAGCTTGTCTCTATCCTCCATTGGCTTTTCTCACCATAGTCTCTCTGCGGGGAAAAGAGAATACTAAAACACCGCCTGTGCATTTTCCTGACCTGTTGGTAGCCATAGTTGAGGCACCTCAGAATGATGGAGTGTTTCCAGCTTCTCATGAGAGTCAGGTGTTGTTTTCTAGTGAGAAAGACTACAGAATATTCCCATATGAGTTTCTGGGAGAAATGTAGATTTTTAGGAAAGTGTGCAAAATGCCTGTCGGTTTCCATTTCTTTTGTTTCACTTACTGAGTTATATAAAAAGTATTATTTAAACAGTAATTGTCATTTATTGTAGCTATCCGAATTTTTTTTGTAGCAGCAGTTTGTATAGCAGTGCTGATTCCTAATGTGCTTAAGTCTGCATAAAACTTGTTAAGCCTGCATGCTTTTATGTCTGTTTCAGAGGAGGAAATCAGTAACATGAGGCTTGAACTGGAGAAGTATGGTATTCAGATGCCTGCCTTCAGCAAGATTGGAGGAATTCTTGCAAATGAACTTTCTGTGGATGAAGCGGCATGTAAGGAAAAATGAAGTGTCATTTTATGTGATTATTCAAATCAGCAGATTTTTTTTTTTTTAAAAAGTGTTGGTTTTAATGCCCCCTGTTGTAAGACAGTACAGTCCTTTCAATAGGCCTTTTGGAAGACTGGGAGGAGGATTTTCTTCTTGCCCTTGTGTATTCTTCTCTTCTCTTCTTTCTGGAACCCGATGATTTGACTAGCTATTGTATTGTACTAGGAAGTAGGCTGCCGCTTTTTGTCAAGAACACAAAGCCACGATAGAATGAGAGGGACTTCGATAATTCTTTTGATTTCCACTTAATTTCCAGATAATTCTTCTGCTCTTTCCAGTTAAGTTCTCAGTTTTTAACAGAGCTGTTGTGTTTGGGACTAACTGGCAGACTGTGACTTGTTTTTCAGTGCATGCTGCTGTCATTGCCATTAATGAAGCAATCGACCATCAGGTTCCAGCTGACACTCTTATGGCAATGAAGAACCCTAATGCCATGCTAATAAATCTTGATGATCAACTGGAATCCACTTACCAAGACACACTCTACAGAGCAAAGCAAGACAAGATGGAGAATGCTAAAAATAGGGTAGATCAATTCTTCTTTCAAACCATCTATTTGCATACCCTGCAATTTTGTATTGCAGTGTCAACTATGGGGAATTCACAGAATGTGCATTACAGTCCTGTATGTATAGTGTTAGGTGAATTTACTCCTGGTGGTATTCTAATATGTTGCCCAGTAATGTGTCTTCCTATTGTAGAAGACAGGCAGCAGTCAGCTGTGTTACTTTGTTCAGCTGTCTGAAATACGGGCCGCATAGATACAGAATTCATGTCAGCCTTTCTATGTTGGGAATGCTGTTCCTCTATTTTCATACAGTACAGATACGTTTTCCTAACAATAAAATGATGAGCAAAACGGACTCATGCTCTCAGAAGGGGTCAGTGGTTTAGAACGCTGTATATCAAATGCCTAGCTATGTGTACTGCTTTCTGCGTTCTGGAGCTCTACTGTGTTCATATAGAGCCATTACATTGAAATAAGGTGTTTCTAGGCTGTCTGTATCAGAGGGTAAGTATACTTACTTTATATGTATTTACTTCTAGGGCTTCTTTTTGCATGTGTAGAAGTAGCCTATCTATGACCTATCACAGCTCTATATAGATATAGAGTTAGCCTCCCTGACCTTTTCAATGAGAAGATCTATGAGCGCAAAAAAACCTGTAGAAACACTGATTAGTTTTTATTTCATCTTCAGATTGCCTCAGAAAATTCAGAGAGAGAGAGAGATGTGTATGAAGAACTTCTGACTCAAGCTGAGATTCAGGGAAACATCAATAAAGTGAACGGTAGGTATCATGCTAAAGTAATAGTCTTAATTTAAAAGGGCACTTAAAAGCAATGCCTGTGCTGCTCCTTGCTTTCTGTAATGCTAACAAAAGTGGACAGCAGCTCCCCTGTTTTTGTGGGTTTTTTTGGTGGTGGTTTCTTTTGTTTGGTTGGGTTTTTTTACTCATTATTAGTACATTACTCGTAAGCTAAATTAATTTTGACTTCTGTTGCCCTTCCTTTAGGAAATGGATTGTCCCTGTCATTGCCTGCCCC